CCCCAAAACCCCAAAACCCCAAAACCCCAAAACCCCAAAACCCCGAGTTGTTGATTAATAATTGAGCTAATTAATATCAAATCTCTACTCTGATGTAGATATTCCCTAAACTGATTCTAAAATTGCGGAAAAAGTGCAGAAATTTTTGCTAAAATTTGCTCTATCTACGGTAAGCTTGCCTACTGGCTTTCCTAAGAAACAGATGTCCTAACTCTGAATTTTACTCAACAATGATATTCTCAAAAGTGGCCTGGTTTTCCTTTTTCTTCTTTCTCAGTGCTTCAATGGTATTCTCAAAGAACTTGATACAGGCTTTAACCTTGTCCCTCTTGCCGTCCTCGGTGATTTGCTTAATATGCTCATTGATCAACTCGATTAGCTTATTGATGTCCCCAGCTGTGATCTGCTCAACTCCTGTCATAAAGTAGTTAATATACTTGTTAAGGATCCTGATTAGTAGAGACAAGTTCTCGGGGTCCTTCATGGCTGAATTGGCTATCTTGAGACATCTGGCGAAGCACTTCCGCAAGCTCTCCCCGTTCTCATACTTTTTGTGTACAAACATGTGACTGGCCACTATCAGTGAGTCTCACTGATCAGGCTTCTTCAATAACTTGTTTCAGTACTGAGCTGCATTATCTGACAATGTCTCGTAGTTTTGCTGGTCAAAACATTCCAAGTGAGATAGAGTGCTCACGATGAGCTTGATGGCTCTTAACTTTTCATCGGAATCTGAGAGTTCGTCCTGGAATACAGTCAAGGAATCACTGATGAAATCATATGCAAATTCTTCTAACTGCTCTTCCTTGTTATAGACTCTGTCGATCACTTGAGCTGCTTGGCAGTACAAGCGTAGAGTGATATCAGGGTATGGAGTAGTAATCTCTTGGAGTAATTCGTTAATCTGGTTGAATACTTTTGGAATAGTCACTGATGGAAGCTTTGGAATAGGACCAAGATCTTCTACTTCTTCTTCGTACACATCAGTGGGACTCCCAGCCTCTGCTTTGCTGTTCAAGGAGATTCAATCATCCAACAAGTAGATATACTTGAAAAGGTTGAAGATAAAAGATGGGAGGGTATACCTCATTCTCTTCTCCCCACCTTGAGTGATTTCTTTCTTAATCAACTGCAGGAGCTCATAATACACATCAAGGTCTTCGTTGTAAATCAGATGGATAAGTTTGGAGACGCTCTGCTGTTCTTCTTCGAATTCGTAACTCTCAGGCTCCTCTTCCATCTCTTCGTCATCCTTGAGCAAAGGCTCAATGAAAGACAAAAGTTGGTTAATGATGTCTTGATTGTCCAACTTTCTCTTTGACTTGAAAACTGCTTTGACAATTCTCAAAGACACTGTCCTCCTCCCGCCATAAGCCATGTACTTGAGCAGCTGGGGGTATTGAGGCATCTCCAAAATCTTGAGGGAGAGAGTATCAAGAGGGATTGATAACAATTTTACTAGTAATCTCATACTCTCTGGAGACAACTTCTCCAATCTCGATTTCTTAATCAAATTGACTGATGACTCCAAAATAGAGTTGATGTACTCAAGCTCCCCTGGGTAACACTTAATAGCGAAGTTGAGGAGGGAAACCTGGATGACAAGGTTGGACTCAATCTTTGAGTTGAACCTGATGAACACTTCCTCCACGTACTTCTGGACGACTTTGAAAATGCTAACTTCGCTAGTCCCTGCTACTTCAGATAATCTGTCTAATAAAGTGATAATAGTAGTCTTTATATCCACATCCTTATGAAGCTTGGAAATGCCCTCTAGAAGTGGCTGCAAAGTCAACAGATGGTATTCATCTGGGAAGGAATTTATCACACACTCTATCAAGAATTGGTGAGACATTACATCCTCACACACGATCAAAGTCTCGAGGATGTTCGGTAACACCTGTTTCTGATACAGATCGGCAGTGAGGCCTTCCAGGTTGCGCAGGCGTTCGATGTTCTCCCCAACTGTGGTCTTGAGCTCTTCTCTCTCTTCTTCCTTCTTATAGTCATCCTTCTGTGAGCTCATATACTGGAGTCTAATCCAGAGTCTATTCATCTCCTTGAAATTTCTGAGAATAAATTCTATAGAATCAGTGACATCGTTTTCATCATCTTCAAACTCGTTATCTCTATCTGGTAGGAGATCCTTCATGGTCTTGAGCATGTAAAACCTCAGGAAGAGACCTCTGATTGGGTGCTGGACTCCCTTGACCATATCAAGAAGATCCTTCAGCACATAACTAGCTTTAGCCTCCTTTGTCTTGATATAAGCAGACCCGACAGTGATCATCAGATACAATCTTGGAATAATATGGGATGCATGCTGGACAGACTCGTACAGATCGGCCATTTTCCTTCCATTTTTCCTCTCTTCCAAAAAGTGGGATTCCAAAAAGATGAGCTCGTCAAACACAGTCATGTCTAAACCATCACAAAGATTTACTTACACAGCGAGAAATAGTTTCTGGGGGACAGAAGATCAGTCCGAAGCTCTTGGAGCATATTTGATGAGTGCTTTAGTGCCTCCCTCAAGCTATTTTGGTCCAAATTCTGTTTCATAAAATAGGCTTGCTCCCTCACAACTGTAACTGCTTCTTCAAGGTACCTCTCCTGGTCAGCTTCCATAGATATATTAAATAATTTATTATCCAAAAGAGACGCCAAAAGGGGTTTTGGGGTTTTGGGGTTTTGGGGTTTTGGGG